ATTTTCCCCACAATAGCCAGCACACTGGCATGTCTATCTTGATGCGAAGGTTCTGCAAGCTGATTTTCTGCTGTAGGAACAGACCAAAAGGCAAAGAGCCCTCTCAGATTAAAACTTGCTCATCTGTTGCTCCATCTGTTTGGCCCATCAGGTCTGATCTACTGCTTCTGCTGAAGAACTCACAATGAATGCCGCTAACAGCTTCCAAACAACCCAAACCTAGGAGACCATACAACCTCCTTTCTGCCCAAAACTCCTGCTGGGAAACCAGAAGGCCTCTATTTTGCCAGGGACCACTGTCTTCAATGGTTTGACCCTCTGCACTAACACTAGTGCCACTGGATACACAAGTAAGGACGACACCAAGTGTGCTCTGTGACACTAGGTAAACATGTTTACAAACTGGAGGAATGTGCAGAGGGACTGAAGGGAGACACAAATGGATGGAAGATCTGTTAACCTGTAGGAAGGGTGTAGAGATGATCTGGGGATGCTTCGCTTTTTTTCTTTAAACTTATAGAAGTGGCATTAAACTTGCCTCATATAACTAATCAAAGGGGAAAAGGATTGATTTGAAATTGGTTTAGGCATATTATTATTTATAACACTGCTTTTTTTCCTTTCTTTTTCCAATACAAACAGCCTGGTTGAGTTATCAGATGGGTGGTGTAATAAATGTGAGTCCAAGATGTTTCCCTTTTGTTAAAAAGTTAACCTTCACATCTGCTTGGATCATACAGTTTACTTTGCTTAGTTTTGAAAGAACACATTGAGAAATATTTTTTATAAATGTATACATTTGCAAATCGACTCCAAATTTGCTAATTTAATTTGAAAATTTAAGGTTAAGATAGTCCAGGTTCTGAGCTTTAATCCAAAATGCTTTATAATTCTATTAAAATTATACATTTCTAATATTTATTTAACTCAACTGGAAAAAAAACAAAGTTCTCACTATATGATAAATGCCTGAATAATGGAATAAACCTTATGTTTCCTTTCTTTAACTGGAGAGGTGTAAAAAGCTGCAATGCATTTGTCTGACAGACTCCTCTGAAGGTGTGGTTGCTTTGCGGGTCTCTGGTAGATTGACTGATTTGGATTCAGGTCCAATTTAGATTCATTTTAATGGAAGAAACCACTTACTTTTTTAAAACAATATAAAAATCAAGACAGATAAGAGTTCGGAAAGAGATTAATTAAGAGTTGGGTATAATTCCCAGCAGCTTGAAGGTGCCATGTTCCTGTAACCACATAGTTATAAGAACATCACCATTATGCTCAGTACTCACACTGTTCAGAAAGTGGAGGGGTTTTGTGTCCCATAGACGAAGTGCTGCAATGACTTTACAATTTTGACACATTTGAAGTAAAATTAAATAGCTTGGTCATCATTACATTTAGAGAGAAAGGGAAAAGTGTGCCTACATAAGAACACTAATCCACATGTAAAGAATCAAAATGAGTGTGGCAGAATCATAATGTTTTGCTGTAAGAAAGACGCATAAAGGTCAGATTATAGATTACAAAGGGAAGCATCCTTTCAGAATATCAGCCATCTCAAAGGTTAATGACAACATTTATTATTCCAAGTGGATCATCTATCACTATCTCTATAGTTATGCTACTATGGGCTTAATCTGCTGGAGGATATTGGGGCCACTTTACATCGTTCTGCTTCATTCTATCTCTGTTCTCCCATTCTGCAGTGTTTGTTAGTTTAATCCCTAACTTTATGTTCTCTATCTGGTCTGTTCCTGTTTGACTGTGAGGACATCCTGGAGACAAATATCAGCTGGGCTGCTGCTGTAAACACCCTAGGTCATAGATTCCCAAAGTTGAGGTCGTGACCCCACTTGGGATCCTTGATCACCCAGTATTGTGTCTTTAAATCCACTACAGAAATTAAACTAAATAATAAACATTTATTTTAAAGTACTTAAAAATATGAAAGCACCACCATTTTTTAATATTATTACACCAATGTTAACTGATTTGTGGATGTGTTTGTGTACTCTAGCAACAGTTTTGGTCACAAGTCAAAACTGTTGGTCAAAACTGGGAACATCTGCCTTAGATTATTGGTGATGGAAATTAGCCTGTTTTTTAGTGTTTAGTCCTATTTCTCTCCAAGACATAGCTATCAGCTCAGATTTACTGTGACATCTATCCATGTGTGTGTATGTGCTCTTTTTCATCCCTTTGACATGAAAACTAGCTTAGAGCTTGTCTGGTTAATGGTGCCTTTCACTGCACTGTTACCTTTTCTAACATAAAAAGTATTTATAGATCAGTTCTTCTATGTTCATGTATGCCTGCTTCTGTCTCCTTTAACCCCAGTTAGCCTTGGCAGAAGGCTGCCAACATTCAGCCAGGTTCTGCTGTTTTTTCCTCTCCATCCTCTCAACTGTTGCTGCATGCATGCTCAGTGTGAGCGACTGCCATTGAGTCCATGACTCAATGCAATCAGCTGTTTTTTCTTAGTTGGAAAACTTGGAACCTATCTGACTGGGTGATCTGATTGAATTGTCTCGGCAAAGTGCCTTGAGTTGATGAGTGGCATGAAATGGCACTACATAAATAAAACTGAATTGAATCTGTTAAGATACAAGCAAGGAATAACTATTTGAGCTTGTAATTGCTATGAAGGCACGCAGACATCAGCTGATTAAACCACAGATGTAATCTGCCACTGCTAACGGCAACCATCCATCACAGTTTTACAGATTGCTATATCTATCTTTGCTATTTATGCTTTCCAATGGACAACTGGCATCTGACAGTTTATAGGAGCATAAATGGACTCATGTGGTGGGCCTACAGGGCTCTGATGCCCCCCAGGGTGTCTGATTCTGAGAAGCCCCATTCTTCAGAAAACACACTGAAGAAGGCCTCCCACCCTCCTGCAGTGTCTACAACGTGAAGAGAAGAAGCTGGGAAAGCCCCCAATATACAGTAAGACAGGACCATTTGTGGCTCAACATTGAGACTCGGCTGTTTGTGTAAACTCTGCAGCATGTGTGGAGGGTCACATAACTCAAACAAAAACAAGTTTAAGTTGCCATTGAGGAAAAAAAATGTTCACATCAAAGAACAGATGTTCACTCTGCTCACCATTAAATGACAGAACCACTCAGCTCATATTAGTCATTTTCTCCACCACACTACATCTTCATATGGTCTAATTCACTGCATCAATATACAAATAGACGCCACTGCTATTATACTCCAAAGACAGACAGCAGTGGGTGGAGGTGGGGGGGTCTGACTCATTCCCAGACAGAAAAAAGGACAAATGCAAATTAATCAGATGATGCAGGCTGGGATGAATAAACTCTGACCTATCCTTTTTGGGCATTTGCATGTGTTTAACTGGATTTTAGGTGCTATGCAGCATCAGGTGCACAAGGGAAACAGGTAATGATGTAGTCTTAGCACAAGGTTAGTGAGGTGGTCTGTAAAAAGGAAAGATTCAGAGAGATAAAAACCAACTTCCCTATGAAATCTACCAGGAATTGTTGGGAACATAAAGATGAAGGGTAATGCTTTAGACAAAAAAAGCAATAAGCTTGTCTTTAAAGTCTGCATCATCGGCCTAAATGATACTTTTCGTTGTGTCAGAGAAACTTTTTTGCTGTTGTGCTTTGCAACCAGAAAATATTTTTAAGTGTTGGTGAATAAAATTCTTAGTAAAAGGTGTTTTCATTTTTAGAAAAAATCAAAGTATTTAGCTTTGCTGTTAATATCAAGTTGCCACCTGGAAGGTAAAGACTCCTTTGCCAATGTCGCCCTCTGCTGGCAACAGAAGTATTGAGATATTTTGGCCACTAGGGGACGCTGCAGTGAACAAAGGCGCAACGCGTTTTAAATTAATTCCACGTTAGGAAATCAGTCACCCAATTTACACATTGGATGCAAATTGCACTAAATCCAGACTTTAAACTACTTAACTCAGGCATCCCCAAACTCGGTCCTCAAGGCCCACTGTCCTGCAGGTTTTAGAGGTTTCCTTGCTCCAGCACAGCTGATTTTAATTGAAAGCTGATTAAGAGGCTTTTGGTCTACTGCAATCATAACCAGCTGTGCTGAAGCAGAAAACCTCTAAAACCTGCAGGACAGGGGGCCTTGAGGACCGAGTTTGGGGATGCCTGACTTAACTGATAAATTCATGAGCAAATATTACCAGGCTTTGTAAACCAACATTTTATTTCTCTCTGCACTTTTGTTTTAAATTTCAGCTAGTCATTTTTTTCCATGCTTTTGGAATACAAAATTAAGTAACTGTTTGCAAAGCCAAAGTGCAGGAAGGCTTCTAGTGTCTCTTAAAATAGTAAAAATCCTTAAGAGCTGTTAATTTAGAATTGTATTTCAGAAGTGGTTTGAATGAAATTCTAAAAGTTTTGCAGGGTTCGTTCTCATTTTTTGCTAAATACATTCTTGAGTTTTCAGGATCCTGTTTGACATTCATTCCGTCTTAGTCCTATTTTACTAGTTTTATAATTTGGAAAAAAAAAAAAAACTGTACTACAGTGCATTCCAAGAATGTTGATCAGGGCTCACCATCAATGTTTCAGATTTTCTCCCCCAGCTTATTCAAAAGAATCCCTCAACTGGCTCAGCACAAATCCCAGTTCATCAGGCAGAATTCAATAATCAACCAAATTTATTTTCATCCAACAATGTTTTAAAGGTCCAACACAAAATAATGCAGCAGAGAAACTTTTTTTTAAACAAGATGTTTTTTATTAGACAGTGAGACGAGTTTGTCAGCGGCCATCCTTTTCATAATCACACCTAAAACTTCTGGAACTGTTTCTTGGCTCCAGCAGCCTTGGTCACTTTGAGGACGTTGAACCTCACCGTCTTGCTGAGGGGTCGGCACTCACCAACAGTCACAATGTCTCCAACCGAGACGTCTCTGCAGAAAAAAAAATAAAAAATGCAGTCATAAGAAATATTCTCGCTTAAGCACATGCATAACTGATCAGGACTATAAAATTCACACTGCATCAGCGTTTGCCCAAAGGCATTGTCGTCAGAGCCTCCTGAGCTTGGAAGACCATCGTGAGAAAAAACATCATTTGCAGTCAATCTGAAAATGCCTAAATTATTGTTAATGCCTGTAGAAAAACAGTTTAATGGATTTCAATATAAACAACTGGAAATAAGTCAAAGCTGAAAAATAATAGTTCCAGAAACCAGCCATAAGCTCTAATGTTTAAGTGAGGAGAAATTTAGAGGTCTTATACCTGAAGCATGGTGACAGATGGACAGAGAGGTTCTTGTGCCTCTTCTCAAAGCGGTTGTACTTGCGGATGTAATGCAGGTAGTCACGCCTAATAACGATGGTCCTCTGCATCTTCATTTTGGTCACCACACCTATAGAGAACAGAGAACTTAATCAGGTCTACGTCGATAGTGTAGACTTAAGATCCCATTTTCATTTTTGTCATCCAACTACATCAGTGTTGCCAATAGGCATTGTCGTCAGAACCCAGGAGGGCTTGGAAGACCATCGTGAGAAAAGACATCATTTGTAGGAGAATGACAAAGGTGAAATCTAGGTACAAAGTCCTAAAGTTGCACCTTTAAATTAAAGACATCATCCCAGAAACATGCTACAGGATGGTAGCACCAACCTTTATTGGAGCCACTGATATATATTGATTACTATTCTGGCTGAACTGTCCAATCAAACAGCTTTATATTTGCAACTGCACGTTGCAGCTTGATTCAACTACATAAGCTGCAAGATGGTTTAATAGATGAGCTGATTGATAAGCAAATGCTGTGTTATGTGAATATAATAGTCATACCACTGCCTCACTGTTGTTCCTTACCCTACCACACTTAAATGTAAAAGTCAAACCACCTGTATATAAGCTATCCTGACTGTCGTATGACACCTCAAATCTCTGTTACTCCCTTGTATTTTTTTTATTTTGTTTTTTACTGTGTGTGATACATGTACACTTGCACCTTAATCCTTAGTTACCTTGATATAGTGTATATATATATTTTTTTATTCTTAATGCACCTTTTCCCTCCTTGTTTGCACCTTCTTTAACTACTATGCCAATATGTGACCAGTGAGTTTCTCCACTGAGATCAATAAAGCTCATCTAATCTAATTATTTTGAATAAAAACAAGATACCTCAATTTTTTTATTTCTTAAATACCATGAACATTTATTGCTAAACAAGTTGAATTTATTTTTTTAAATGGCAAAATATTCAGTCATTTTTTGAATGCTGAAGCTCCATTAAAGATTAAAATGTCAATTTAAATGATATATAATGTGCCTCAAATTTCAATATTACACAACCCAAAAAAGCCAATGCTTTTAATTTTAAACTTAAACTAATGGGAAAATAATCCAGATACAAAGATGATTCATTTGGATTATTTTCCAAATATCTATAAGCGTTAAGTAAAGCTTATGGTACAAAGAAGATGGACCTGGAAAATAATCCAGATATATTATCTATGTAGCATAAGTTTTACATCAATCTTAGAGGTATTTGGAAATTTGTATATGACAGTGGGCTACAGAGCAGGAAAACTTTAGTATTAATTGGATTGAAAATATTCTTTACCAGAGAGGATACGACCACGGATGGAGACATTTCCAGTGAAGGGGCATTTCTTGTCAATGTAAGTGCCTTCAATAGCCTGTAAGCAGAGCAAAGGGAGAATGTAAGAAATTCAGTAACAAGCACCCACTCCCTCCAAAAAAAACAATGCAGCAGTTTGCATCAGTGTTGCCATAAGGCATTGTCGTCAGAACCCTAAAGGTTTGGAAGACCATCGTGAGAAATACATCATTTGCAAATAACTATAATCAACAAATATGGCAGAGCTGAACATCTTCAATGTTTCCAATACCTCTCTTGGGGTTTTGAAGCCAAGCCCAACACTCTTGTGGTAGCGGGGGATCTTCTCTTTAGCTTCTTTGCCACCATCAACAGCCAGAACACGCTTCTTGTTCTGGAAGATTGTGGGCTGTTTCTGATACGCCCTCTCGGTCTGTAGGGAAATAAAGGACACATTAAAAAAATTAAATCCTATCCATCCATCCACGTTTAATGCGCCGCTACAAACCCCTAACGGGCTCAAACTGACTTCCTCCTCGGCAAACATTACCACCGTCAACTGAAACATCGCAAAACTACTCATCTAAAAAGGTGGAAACATTAAGAAAAGATTTTAAAAAGCAAGTTACGACAGCAAAGAGTGTAAGACTGAAGTGTAACTAATCAACTTATTAAGCTAACATAGCTAGCATCCCGGCTAGCTGAGCATTACACGAGGGTGTGCAGATCGACAACATAAAACATTTTTAAACCAATAGATTCGATCTGAAATGTCTTTGTTGCGTACCTAAAGCTAAAACTGTGGCGATTATTCCGTTTTAGGTGGCACTGGACTTCAACAAACGGCATAAAAATCGACTTAAATTCACCACGCCGTCTTCAGTTACAAACCTGAGCATCCGCCATCTTTGCCTGCCGAGTCGTGAAGAGGCCTGAGCATGCGCGCGAGGGACGGAAGACAACGCAGCGCCGGAAGTTACGTTCAAGTGAAGTTGGGCAAAATAGAAAACAGTGTGTGATAACTTAAACTAGATCAAATTAAATGTAGTCCAACTGTACCGTTACCAGTAATCCCTCCCTGGATCACACCTGAAACAACAGTGGATTTGACATGGTTAGAAAAGAAAAAGGAAGGCAATATTTATCATAAACTGATACAGGAATATGTTAATAGTTATTATGGATATATTCAAATATATACAGATGCATCTAAAAGTAAGTAATAGGCTGGGTATTGCATTTTATGTTCCAGAGTTCAATATCAAAGTAAATAGGAGAGTAAATAATGAATTATCATATATTATTATACAGGAGAATTATTAGCAATACTATAAGCATTACAATGGATAGAGGAAGTGAGACCATTAAGATCAATTATATGTTCAGATTCGAGTTCAGCTTTAATCGGTATACAAAGTCATAGTTTGAAAAGTAGATCAGACATTTTAATTGGAGTCCATCAAGTTTTATATCGTGTTCAAAAGATGGGTATTGGTGTTATTTTTTTTGGGTGCCAGCACATATAGGGATTAAATAAAAATGAAATTGGATACAAGATTGCTAAGGAAGCATCACAAAATAAAACCATTGAAATAATGATGAACTTAAGTAAGACAGAAATTAAGAGTATCATTAAACAATGGATAAAGGAAAGGTTGCAAAAACAATGGAAAGAAGAAAGGAGAGGAAGATTGTTTTATAGAATTCAACGGAAAGTCGGAGAAATGAGGATAGTAGAAGAAAGCAGAAGAGAGGAAACGGTTATTTTAAGACTTAGATTTGGGCATACAGGAAAAGTACCTTCGTCCATATATCAGGCAAATGTAGATTTTGTGGACAAGACGAAACAGTAGAACATGTAGGGATGTATTGTAAGAAGTATGAAGAAGAAAGGAAGAATTTGGTTAGAGACCTAAATAAGGAGAAAGTAAAATTTAATTTGATAGATATTCTGCAGAAAAGGTAACAAAAAATGTTATCAATATTTATTTAAATATTTATTATTAACAAGAATTATTAGGAGGATTTAGTATATTTATAGTAATAATATATATAAGTAATATTATAGATAGAGATATGTAGATAAATAAATACAAGTATGTTTATGAATAGGGCCATTCGATCACACTCCTCACCAGTAGGTGGCGGTAATGCACACCGAAAAGTTGTTTGCCAACCGCCATTAAACGCATCAAGACAAGTGTGTGATTAGTTAAAATAGAGAATACTTCAATCTTAAAAAAACAAACATTACATTTATATTTCTTTTACCTCCCATACGTGTTGTAGTGAGTGAATCTATATTTTTTCACGAAATCAGAAATTTCAAAACCAACAGATAAGAAAAAAATCAGAATGCGCATAAACTATAAGCACAATTATACAGAGCTTAATAATTCTGGTTAAGAAAATAAAAAGCATGATTGGTTTCATTTCCAGTTTTCCAGGGCCAGTATCTTGCAACTTTTTGATGCATCTGCTTTAATTTTTCCATATGAGCTCATTAGCTGAAGTCTGCATAGCCTGACTATGCAGGTGAGGTAGTTTAGTCATTTGATTTAGGATATGAGACAACTGATTTAAAGGTAAACATGATAAAGGACAGTTAGCCAGGGTTTTTATTTTTATACCAGATTTATCCACATTTGGAAATGTACACAGAAATAAAAAAAAATATTGAAAACATTTAAAAACAACATGTTTAGAATTTAAAATTTTAAAATCTGGCCTACAGAGCCTGTTAATACATAGATTATAATCAATGCAGTTTGATGTGCATTATTGAATCTGTTATAATGGTTATGCGTGTTTTTTTTTTTTGTTATTCCAGCAATGTGAATTACAGATTACCCCTCTCTCCGGTAAGAGGCTTCGACGCATCCGATGCAGGTCCAGCAGGTTCCACAACAACTTCTTCCCCACTGTCATTAGACTGCTGAATATTGTATAAAGAAGGGTTTTAAAAAAAAAAGCTCTGAATGTTGAAATCTGTAAATCATATACCGTCTTATGTTTACATTTTATCACTGCTGCTTATATTTTATCACTGCTGCACTTAAAAAAAGGAAATGTCTTGAGAGCTGTACTGAAATAAATTTGTTTTGTACACTCTGTGTGTGCAAAATGACAATAAAGTCTCTAAGTCTAAGATACACTGCTGAGAAACCTAAAAATGTTTCCTTATAGGAAGATTTTCTGCAGGATCCTTCAGAACTATCCACAATATCACTCCAGGTGGAAATGGGAAAATACCATTAGATCTGAGAAGTACAACCAATACGACACAACACAGTAATTAACTCTGGATCATGCCATATGTAACATTTTAAAATCGATGCTAAGAGAAGAAAATTTTGGTTAGGTTAATAGAAATCAATAGAAAAAACACTTGAATTGGAACATTTGAATAAATATGCTTTTTGTTAAGTAGCCTAGCTGTTGCCAGCCTGACAGCGCACTGAAGGCCTTTTTTTAATCCTACTTAACTTTGTAGTATTGTCTATATTGTTTATTTAGCTTCAGAGTTGTTGGGGGAAAAAGAACACCAATAAAGATATTTTCAAATATAATTTTAACATAACAGAAGCATTACAATCTAGTTTAGAGAGTAAACATAAATAAATAGTCATTGGATTTTCTTAACACAACAGATTGATAGCATTAGGTTATATCATGGGCGTAGGTTTGCATAGGGACCATAGGGACATGTCCCTACCAAAATTTTGAACCGACCTAATTGTCCCGACCAATAATTGGATGTGAGCAACATGTTTATAATTTACAGCAGTAGTTGTCGCAGCAGTGGCTTCTTTTCCTCTCGCAGCTCCTCTGCCTGGTCTCTCCTGTCCCTTTCACGCAGCAGCGCATGGAACTGTGATGCGCTGTTTAACTCCACTCTCATTGGTTGTTCTGCCTTAGGTTCCGCCTTCTCTCTCTCTGATTGGCTGTTTTCTAGTTCTGGGGTGCTTGGAGCACAAAATTGAAAATTGATTCACACTAGAATGCTGCGGTTACTGCAATAAATATTAGGCTACAAAACTAGTCCCAATAAAAAAAAATGAATATCATGTACACTAAAAAACAAAGACCTTTTTTTTCTTTTATAAAGCGAAATATTCTGAGTCAGCCAGGAGTTCTGAAGACACAAAATGGGCAAATAAAGGCTGTAAGCCATCAACATTTCTGATTCTTAGCCACAGCCAACTAAAAAAGAAAAAGTGAGTGTTTCCTTTTTACCAATATTTAGTTGCTATTACTGGTTTCATTTTTTTTATGACTCTTTGAGAAAGTTCAGGTATAATCATTAGCAGGTGTTATTTCTCTTATAGAGTACAACAAGAAGAAATGGGGCCTAAACATCTGCTGTTTTTCGTTTAAAAAGCATAATTAGGGTTCCACATAATAATAGTTCTATTTTATTGACTATTTATACTTCTAGAAATAGGATAAAGACAAGAACAAACAAAGGAAGAATATAAACATTGATTTTATCTTACATAGATTTCCACACAGTCTATAAGTAAATTAGTACAAACATTAATGTCTGGTAAAAATGCTTGAATCTGGCTGTTTATTTTGGATAATGTTAAATTACAGATAAGATAGTGTTATATTGTCTTTTATAATTGTTAAAAATTATTTTATATTTGAATACACTTAGGCTCATTCTTAGTGTTGTGTTTGTAGATGATGCCACTAAAAAGGAAAATACAGTAAGGAGCTATTTAAACAGTCAGACAGTAAGCAATATAGGACAATGATAAAAGGTTGTGTTACATTTAATCCTTTACTATTAAAAACACAGTTATACATTATATGATTATAGGAAACACAGATATCCAGTAATAATGATGCAGGGCAGCTTGTAGGTGAAGCAGCTGGCCCTTCAGTGCTTCAGGTGATGTCTAAATAAACCAGGTGAAACTAAAATATCTCCACATGGAGTCTCCATTCTCCAGTTAATGATTAATCACATACTAAATTAGTTGACGATTATTGAAATAATCAATTAATACGATTAATTTTTTCAGCCCTAGATAAAATAGATGAAATGGGCTATACAGAGTAACTACAGCCCAGATGTTCAACTTTTATAGTGAAGTTAATATTTTAATGAATGTATTATTTTGCTTGATACAGAGAGAGCATAGTAGGTAAAATATAAGAGTGGGGTTTAACTCTGCACTATTGTATATCTTCAAAAGAATATACTGTATTTACCTTCTCTATTAGTCATGCAAATGAAACCATTTACAAAGCGGAAAACAGTCCTAATGCCACATTCATCAGAGCCTGTGATACTTCAAACATTAATAAACAGCATCTAATGAGTGTAGTGCTTATAACATTTTTATTAATGTAGCAAAATGATGCTTTTCTCTTTTAACAATGAATTCGTCTTATCAGTACGGATGCTCACATCGAGCATAAAAAAGGGCACGCATATTGCAGCACCAATGACACCAGACCAATAGTGTCCCCACCAAAGTTCAAATCAAACCTACGCCCTTGGGTTATATAGTTAATACTTTAGAAATTAAGTCATGATGAAGCACGTTTTATACCAGCTGGTGGCGGTAGACACAGATAGACCCAAGTCTCAGTGTGAGAGACGTGCTGACAGAGCGGCCATCTTAAGTCAGACCAGGCTTCTGTCAGAGAAAATACACATCCGTTTAGGAAAATTGTGCTTTATGACACACATATACATATACAACATATACGTGTTGATATATATATATATATATATATATATATATATATATATATATATATATATATAAAAAAAACAAACATTTTTTCTAATGTTTTAAAATATAATTGAATAAAATATCAGAATGGATGGAGGAAATCGAGGTTGATGCTATATATACACTATATTGCCAAAAGTATTTGCTCACCCATCCAAATTATTGGAATCAGGTGTTCCAATCACTTCCATGGCCACAGGTGTATAAATTCAAGCACCTAGGCATGCAGACTGTTTTTACAAACATTTGTGAAAGAATGGGTCGCTCTCAGGAGCTCAGTGAATTCCAGCGTGGAACTGTGATAGGATGCCACCTGTGCAACAAATCCAGTCGTGAAATTTCCTCGCTCCTAAATATTCCACAGTCAACTGTCAGCTGTATTATAAGAAAATGGAAGTGTTTGGGAACGACAGCAACTCAGCCACGAAGTGGTAGGCCACGTAAACTGACGGAGCGGGGTCAGCGGATGCTGACGCGCATAGTGCGAAGAGGTCGCCAACTTTCTGCAGAGTCAATCACTACAGACCTCCAAACTTCATGTGGCCTTCAGATTAGCTCAAGAACAGTGCGCAGAGAGCTTCATGGAATGGGTTTCCATGGTCGAGCAGCTGCATCCAAGCCATACATCACCAAGTGCAATGCAAAGCGTCGGATGCGGTGGTGTAAAGCACGCCGCCACTGGACTCTAGAGCAGTGGAGACGCGTTCTCTGGAGTGACGAATCGCGCTTCTCCATCTGGCAATCTGATGGACGGGTCTGGGTTTGGCGGTTGCCAGGAGAACGGTACTTGTCTGACTGCATTGTGCCAAGTGTAAAGTTTGTTGGAGGGGGGATTATGGTGTGGGGTTGTTTTTCAGGAGCTGGGCTTGGCCCCTTAGTTCCAGTGAAAGGAACTCTGAATGCTTCAGCATCCCAAGACATTTTGGACAATTCCATGCTCCCAACTTTGTGGGAACAGTTTGGAGCTGGCCCCTTCCTCTTCCAACATGACTGTGCACCAGTGCACAAAGCAAGGTCCATAAAGACATGGATGACAGAGTCTGGTGTGGATGAACTTGACTGGCCTGCACAGAGTCCTGACCTCAACCCGATAGAACACCTTTGGGATGAATTAGAGCGGAGACTGAGAGCCAGGCCTTCTCGTCCAACATCAGTGTGCGACCTCACAAATGCGCTTCTGGAAGAATGGTCAAAAATTCCCATAAACACACTCCTAAACCTTGTGGACAGCCTTCCCAGAAGAGTTGAAGCTGTTCTAGCTGCAAAGGGTGGACCGACGTCATATTGAACCCTATGGATTAGGAACGGGATGTCACTTAAGCTCATATGTGAGTCAAGGCAGGTGAGCAAATACTTTTGGCAATATAGTGTATATATATATATATATATATATATATATATATATATATATATATATATATATATATATATAGCATCAACCTCGATTTCCTCCATCCATTCTGATATTTTATTCAATTATATTTTAAAACATTAGAAAAAATTTTTGTTTTTTTAACTATTAATTTTTAACGTTGAAGATCAAAAGTCTGGGTGTGTGACAAGCGCAAAACGGTAATATTTACATATAAATGAGGCGGGAAAAAAAGGTCAAAAAGTCATCTCAGACTATTAAAAAAATGTTCTAAAACAGTTTCATTGTAAAGATAATTTTAAAGGTGTGAAATGACCCTTTTTTCTTTTTTCATTAAATATGATCAAATGACATAAAATAGTTATTAAATAACAAGTATTTTGAATAGTGTATAAATGCTGTTTTTCTGTAATGTCTCGCAAAGCTCTGATGCCTTCACAAAGTTATCCTTTGAGCCCTGATGTCAACAATCTGATAATTCGAACAAAAGAAAAAAAAAACGCGGCACATGCATCGTTCTTAGGTTCTTTTAAACCAGCAGGTTATGGAAGCAGGTCGACCTCCCCAAGATGGCGCCCTTAGTTTCTGCGCCGCGACAAGTCAATGCGGGTTCCACGGCTGGTTATGCTCCCCGCAACAGTGTGTCTAGACTCTAAGGTTGTGATATTATCTTTGCATTGCCTTACATGTTGTTAAAGATAAGATCTGAGGTGCCGCCTTACATTCTGACAGCAGCTGTCTGAACCTCAGAGAGAATAATTTCAGAGTGAATCATGTCAGGGCGAATCATTTTCTATGATCCAACAAAGGCCCGCCTTCAGGTACGTTTGCTCAGCTGCTGACAGCTTCGAATAGGGCGTCTACGCTCTAATGTTTATAAAGGCAAAGCGCGCCTCTGGTTCAAAACCGAAGTTCGCAGGAAAAGAAACCACAAGTGACAAGAAAGGGCTTATGTAGGGCGGATCTGAAGCAGGAACATCTGTCATTATTCCTTAAGATGGCATCGACAGAGGAAGGAGGAAATCGAGGTAGATGTTTGTTTTTTCAAATATAAAACTTTTGACTCAACTTTTGGTGAACAACTGACTTTAGTTAGATTAAGATCTAGTTACCGCGCCGCGTGTGTCCTACAAACGTTATATATTTGACATGAAAATGTAAAAAAGATAACTGGGAAATAGAACTCTCTTGGTTTTGGCTTAAAAACAAAACTTAAACTACTTTCACTTTTAGTTTTGACATGAATAAAGTGGATGATGTGAATTATATCTGCTCTTTGTCTTTTAGGAACTTTTACAGATACCATACTGGATGAGCTTGTGTTATTGTTAAAGAAGTAAGTACCTAGATGGTCATTAATTAGTTTTATGTTATGTGGTCTTTATAATCAGGTTATTACCTGCTTTTCTCCTCAGACCAGTTCACAGCTAAAGCCTCTAATTTTTAGTAACAGCTCTAATCTGCGGAGAAAAATGTAGAGGCTGTTTACTCCTCTCCTTCCTTTAATTTGCAGCTCTGGTTTTAAATAAATATTATATCATGATTAATATGCTGTCATTTAAATCATTAAGAGAAAGGCTTTATTTGTTGTTATATAGTTCAGTGTTTTTCCTTTTTTTTTAAGAATAGACCAGCCTTGGAAGATGCTGTGTGAGAACACATCTGTCCTTGTTCAACTTCGTTAAGAGTTAATTAGGAGTAACATCCAGATCTAGATGTTCTTTTTTTGTTTTGTTTTTGTTTTTTTATGGTGGTTGACAAACCAACAAAGGTGCATTACAAACACCAACTGACCTGGAGTGTTGACCAATTCTAAACAAAAATATGATAATAAAATAACCAATGATAATGCGTATTGAATATAATTGAACTTTATTAATTAAATACATGATAATCGACATCTGTCTAATGGATTTTATAACAAACTTCTTTGTGCCTATTTGCACTCAGCCCACAGCTTCTGACTGTGTTGGTGTTACTCCTTTATCTGACATGAGTTCAATATCTTTACATCCTAGATCTTTCACATTAAGATACTTCTCTTATTATTACCAAGACCTTATATGAGGTGTTTACTGATATATCATACTGGAGCAACTGCCAAGGCGTGGCAGGATGGAACCAGCAGGCCTTAGTTTTCCTTTTTTGTATTGACAATGACAAATTAGGACCTTTTATTTATAGGAGTGGATCAAATAGCCTGGGTACATGCATGCAAAGTGCTAGATATAACGTCACCTTCCGATTGATGTCAAGAAATTCTGATTCTTTCAAGTCATTTTTTAAGAGTTAGAATTAGCACAGATCTCAATGCATTTGGGGTTGTACGTTTTTAGAGATGCGCATACAGTGCATCATCGTGGCTATGAGACAGGTAGTCTCCTAAATGTCTAGAAGAAAGTTTTCAGCTCTTATTGGTCAGATGCAACTATACTGTAAGCTTCTAATCAAAAATAGTTTTATCTTGACATTCTTAAGTGCTAAAGATGTCAAAGGGTTGGATATAGTCAGTCATTTTGAATAGCTTCACTATACTGCAGCTAGTTACCTACAAATGTGTCTTATCTGTACTCTCTACTCTCTCCAAATGTTTTCTAGTTTCGTCTTGAAGTGGATTCAGCGACATGCATTAAGTAAGGTGCCGATCCTCCAGGAAGCGTTGGGTGTAACAGCTCTCTGTGACCCACAGCAGCAGAAAGTCTCTGATGCCTTTCAGGTTGTTGCGGATGAAGTGGATGGAGAAGGAGGGATTAAAAAGTGAGGCTCCCTCTCTGTGAGGCCATAGTCCTGATTAAAAGATGAACATTTTATTTTATGAAACTACAATTATTTGAATTGATTATCTATGTTTTTTTTCTTTAGGCTAATAGAGGTTCCATCATTCACTCCCTCAAAGGAAGTGTTTGTGAAAATTGTCCGCGAACTCTTTTCCGATGGGGAGATCAACTGGGGCAGGGTGGTTACTGTCTTCTGCTTTGCCGGCATGTTTGTCTTGAAAGTGAGTGAAGCATCTACTTTTCTTTCCTTGTTGTATGTTGTTGATATTCCTGTAAGAATTGTTTGCATTAAAAGTATTAAAAATACCATTTGATGTTCTTATTCCAGAAAGCTAGTTTGTCGATTTGTATCCAGGCAGGATAGAAGTGCAAACATTAAAATAAGCTGATTAAATTTGATTTGGTCAATTTTTCCACATGTCTCGTTAGGCTCATGAAAGCAAAATATGTGAGTTAATCAAAACCATAATCAGCTGGATCATAGACTTTTTCCGAGAAAAGGTGCTTGGCTGGATAAAGGAGCAAGGCGGCTGGGTAAGGAGCTCATTGACAAATAAAATCACTGGTTGGATTTGAAGTTTTAACTCCTGAGAAAACGCTGTTAATGATATCTTTTTAAATTTGTAGGAGGGAATTTTTTCCTACGTCGGCATTCCCATGTGGCAATTTTTGGGGATTTTTCTGGCTGGGGTTGTCACCACCCTTGTCGTCGTCCACAAGATGAGGGCCGAATGAAGAGCCGACAGGGGCATGGAAAAAAAACAACTGAGTGAGCAGAAGCAAACCAAGAAGTTAATGGGAGGATTTACAGAGTAAACAAGTCAAACAAGAGGAACTTGTACAAAGGATATTATTGTTTGTCTCCCATTCGAGTGTGAAATGGTGACTCAGACTATCAGAACTTATGTTTGAGTAAACAAAATCCAAGAGATGACTTTAGAATTAAACAGGATCATTATAGCTTAATGGTTTTTTTTTATTTCTGTGTGATTGGAAACTTTTTATTATTATTTTAAACTTCAATCAGTACTTGAGTTTTAAACTGTCTTAAACTGTTTTAAATGTCTAAACTAACTTCCACTTTTTTCTAATGCATTTTCTAAGCCGTTACTTTAAAACTTGAACCTTTTGGACCACAGCTGATTTCCCTGTTGCGTGCAGTCACGTACACCTTACAAGTTTGTACTCTAAGCATTTGGCCAATCGCATAGATTTGTCTCTCATAAAAAAAGTTATTCTCTGACTCATTAATCTTTTCCCCTGGGTTGTCTGACTGGAAAGTTTAACCTGTTATGCAAACAACTAGAAAGGGAAAATAAAACAAATTAAGATGGTGGAAAAGAAGTCCTTTATATTATTTTTGTATAAAAAAAGCTTTTGCGCATGTGTAGCAGGTGTTGCAGGACAGCTTTAGCATGATAAACCTGGAGCTACTTATCTGCAGTGTGTTATCTTCAGCAATAAAGTCATCAAGAGTGATTTAAAAGCACACTGTTGCACCATCTTACACGTTTTAATATCCACTGCTGTAAGTACAAGCACGTTGATGATTGTAACCAGTTCAAAACTGGTTACCAGTCTACCCTATTAAACCACTGGTGTTAACTGTACTAGGTATGATCATACTGGTGATTTATTAGGCCTAAAAAGGTCCAAAACAATGTTAAACTTGCTGCTCATCAGGTTGATATAGTGGAGAAATGCCATACACCCTTGTTTTTACCATTTACTGTATTTTCTGGACTATAGAGCGCACCTCACTATAAGGTGCAACCTTTACATTTTTTTTAAAAACTTGAAATGTACATATATAAGCCGTACTGGGCTATGAGCAGCTGATATCTACTGAACTGTCTCCCACCAAAGCTATAGGGAGAGCTCTACTTATGGCCCCTGTAGAAGAGACGAAGAAGAATGCTAGTTCCCATTAGCTTGTTGGCTCACAGCAGTAAGAGCTTCTGCTGAAAGATGGGGGTTGTTCAGTTGTGTGAATTCTGGACATTTGTTCTCCATCGTGCCTGCTGATAGCATATTGTGCTAAATGAAAATTAGACTCTTATTCTTTCATTAATTCAATTCAGTTTATTTCTATAGCGCATATCACAACACGTCATCTCAAGGCACTTTACAGTTCACCAGATCATCCAGTCAAATTGATTCAAAGTTTTCTATCTAAGGAAAACCAGTTGATTGCATCGACTCACTGACTCAAATGCAATCCTTCACACTAAGCATGCTTGTAGCGAGAGTGGAGAGGAAAAACTCCCTTTTAACAGAAAGAAACCTCCAGCAGAACCAGGCTCAGTGTGAGCGGCCATCTGCTGAGGCCGACTGGAGTTCAAGGAGACAGAAGCAGAGATACAAAAAGCAGCTGTAAAAGGCGGCCCCGTCCAGGAAACACACAGCCAGGCAGACGAGCTCTGAGCCAGCTCCCATGTCAGAGGATGAAGAGACCACATCCAGACAGTCACAGTTAGAGAAATTGCCATCTTTGACTTCCCCCTCTGGCATTTAGAAAAAAATCTACAGAAAATTAGCACCTTCTTTAAAGCGTGGGGAAAAAGTAGCGGCCTATAGTCCGGAAAATACGGTAGTTGATGACTGTTTGAAAGAAAAGTTTATTTTTAAGCCATCTTAATTGTATGAGGATGTGAAGTCACTTCCTCTTTTATGGATTGCTTAAACATCTGTAAGTGGTTCAACAGACTTTGTACATCATGTATTGTTTATTTTTCCTGGGGGGCGTGTCATCCTTTGTGTGATTATAAAATAAGTCATGTGTCATACAAATATGAGAGAAGTTGTACTGCACTTAAGAAAATAAATATATCTTGTATATGTTTTACCTCATTTTTGTAAGTTGAGTACATTATTTCTGACATCAATTACTACATCTGGCATCTCTTGGAAAGGTGGAGAAATGAGTGTCGAGACTAACAAGGCAGAGACAAGACCAAAGGTTTTAGGGACAGACACCAAGACTGAGGGCGATACTGAGTCAAGACCAAAACCAGCAAACAATCCTTCATTTCACAATAAGGGGGAAGGAATTAGTGACTAAAATAACAAAATTAGTTATCCTACCAAGTACCAATTAAACCATTACATTTTACTTAAAAAAATAAAATAAAAAATCAAGGACATTAACCCAGGTTAATGATATTTCAATAATGTTGGTGTGAGGGATTTGAACAAACCAGCCAGAAACCCATTGAAATTTTTCAAAAAAAAGTATTTAATTTATTCCAAAAAAACATTCAAAAAATGATAAACCAGCCCCAACCAACAACAGACTTTAATTCAGGTACTAGCATAAAGAACACAAGCACAAACTGATCTAACAAACAAGACATGAAAGAAACTTAAATAGTGGCTGATCAGACCACTGTTGACACACACCAGGGATAACTGACTAACAAACAAATAAACGTAATTAAACAGATACTGGTGAGACACTAAGTCATTTTTAAATTTAACTAATTAACAAAATCTCCCAAACTAAGAATATTTAAACAAATGATAAACAAATTTCCCTTCCCATTACTATGGTGTGACCCGCTGATTAGCCTGCAACAATCAGTTGAGAGGAAAGCTGGAGCTCATTGCAGCCCTCCATCAGCAGATTCAAAGGAAACTGGCAACTCAAAGGAAAAAGAAATTAATCAATTGCATCTTAACAAGAAATAACCTGACAGATAAAGTTAACTAGATTTGCGCACTGCAAAAAAGTTAACTTAAAGTCGGGCTAATGAAAAAACATGAAATGTGCAACTCATTTTGAAGACGAAAAATACAAAAGTTACCACACAGCTTCAGAGTGTGACAGCAGGCTTTAACAGTTGGTCTTGAAATACATTCCAGTCCTTTATATCCGATACAAGACTGAGTATATATGAGGTCAAGCTGTAGACAAGACCGAGACCATCAAAAAGGGGCTCTGGAGACGAAACTTGTCCCAAACTGCAATACTACCATGTGCAACACAATGGAAAGAGCAATTCAAACAAATTTTAAGCATGAAAATAAAATTAAATATAACCAAAGTACTTTTTTTCCACACCAACCAATGAAAATATTACTCAAATTACTGAATTTAACAATCCTAATATTTTTTAATGTTGTATTTACATAATCGGACAAGTACTTATGAACTCATTTCAGCAGTTAGTCTTTTTATTATCTTATTTTGAAACACTTGGATGTTTTTTAAACAGCAATTTTTGCAAACACACCGACAATGGTTGCTACATCCCATTATTTTGCAGATAAAATGTAAACACATAATGCAAACTTTTTCTTTTATGTCCTTTTTAATTAAATAAAATGATAACATGTGCTAAACTTCAGCAAAAAAAAAAAAAAAGAAACACTAGAAAATAGCCCATGACTAATTTTAAACATCTATGTTTCTGAGAAATAACTTCCTGGTCAAAGGCAGAGTTGTTTTTCTGCAACTAGTTGATGTGACAGCTGTGTCTACTTGTTTGAACAGATCAGCTTCTTGGCTTCATGTTAAAAACCGCCCTCACAGAAATTACTCTCTTCTCTTAGGAGTAGTGCTACTCAGGAACAACACATCATTTGCAGCTTTGGACTGTGCTGCTTACTCTGCCGCTACTGACAACCAGAACTCTTCCAGCACAGATGCAGGGAACTAGCAATCTATAATGTGTGATCAGAGGAGAGATCAAGCACAGCGTCCTGCATGACTATTGACGCAGTGAAGGTGCAGAAAGTCTGACTTATCCAGTTGTAATTTTCTGCCTGTCATAATTTGAGGAATGCTTTTTACGTGACTTTACTGGATAGGTTTGTTGCTGTTGTTTTGATGAAGCTTAGTTACGGCTCACAGTAAGTGGTTTTGAGAAATAGAATACCTATTTGAGACCAGCCACTCACCATCCTTCTAATGTCCGGTGAGAAGCCAATTTCAATATGCACATTTATATTTTTATAAAATGCTTTGGCGACCCCCAGAAATCTTGTGACCCCAGTTGGGGTCGGGAAGCAAAGGTTTAGAATGGCTGGTTTAAAGTATTGATAACAAAATGGGTAAAAACTAGAAAGGTTAATCAGGACGTCAGGACGTAAACAAAACGTTTTTACATGGAGGTTTAGAGTTTCATATACTATCAGAGATGGCAAAAGTACTCACTTTCCGTACTTGAGTAAAAGTACAGATACTTGTGTTAAAAAATACTCTGGTAAAAGTGGAAGTACTGATTAAACTTCTTTACTCAAGTAAAAGTAACAAAGTACAGGCGTGTAAATTTACTTAAAGTATAAAAGTAAAAGTAGAAACCACTTTTTTCATGCCGTTGCCTACATTTTAAATGGATGTCTGCCAATAGGACTAGATCTCCGTTGTGTTCATTTTCAATCATCTCGTCGTCCATACTACTATGCTAACGCCACCGCCACCAAGCTGCAATGATTTGCCGCGAATAAATACCGCCGAATCTGTCGATTCATCTTGTAGTGGTGCGTCAAATGCAACGTAGATTCCCATCCAATTAGATTGAATTTGGTATTGATGACGTGAAAAATAATAACCGTAACTCCATTGAAATGATTCAAAACTAAAGTAACGAGCCAATTTTTAAAAATGTAAGGAGTAGAAAGTACAGATATTTGTGTAAAAATGTAAGGAGTAGAAGTAAAAAGTCGCCATAAAAATAAGTATTAAAGTAAAGTAAAAATATCAGAAAAATCTACTTGAGTACAGTAACGAAGTATTTGTACTTCGTTACTTCCCATCTCTGTATACTATATATATATATATATATATATATATATATATATATATATATATATATATATATATATATAAACATATACATATATACACGTATATGTAGATATATGTATATATGTGTAAATATATATATATATATATATATATATATATATATATATATATATATATATATATATATATATATATATATATATATATATATATATATATATATATATATATATATATATATATAGTCTTAACAAAGATAAGAGGCTTTGCGTAAGATCTGTGAAAACCTTTGCGGTAAATGATGCGTAGATAACAAGTGATTCACCTGAGAAGCTTTCTGTGCCTCAAACTCCCATCAGCACCAAGGAGGAGCGAAGAAGAAAATGAGTCACGTGACTGTGCGGAAGTAGCAGACGGAAAAAGCAAAATGGCAGAAGGAGGCGGAGGTGACCAAGGTACTGTCTAGCATCCCCTCTGTCTTTATTAATACAAACTGTGACAGCGTTTAAAGATGTTTGATGGATGTCGGAATCATCTTAGATTAGTGATTTGCTTCGGATTTTCTAGTTTTGAGTCCATCTGTCGGACACAAAAAACGTTGCTATGACTGAGGTTAGCTTAGCAAAACCGCTAAGTGTTAGCGTTGATGCTCAGGAGGTTTTCTAGAGACAACAGCGAGACGAGATAGTTTGACATTACATTTTGTCTTTTTCTTCACACTGAAAAACGCTAATTTTCGCTAGCCGGCTTTGAGTTATTGGCATGTAAAGACATCAAATAATTTACCTAAAACTAATGCACTGGGTTTGACATGGTAGCTCTGTGTTCTGAATAGTTTTCATATCAAATAATTATTTTTGGAATATTTATGTAAAAAAAAAAAAAAAGTTAAAAAAGTTTTTAATAAGAAGGTCGAGGGGGGTTTCTTGTTGGAAAATGATTTCATGGGACTTTCCAAGGTTTCGATGTATCAACATTTAAGTGAGGTGACTCATCTTTACCTTTTGTTTCTTAGGGAATCCGGTTGATCCTATG